GTTTCAGAAGTTGTTGAGGATGTCTCGAGCGACACGCTGGTTTTGCAGAGCCGACCGCGACACGGAAAAGCGCCCCTCGCGCAGGAATTCTGAGGATGTCTCGCGCGTGCCGCGTCCCGCGCGCAGGGATTTCGAGGATGTCTCGACTAATTCGGTTGTTTTGCCAGGATTTCTTTGGATTTTGACAGAATGTCTCTAGCGAAACGCTTGTTGTTTCAACATTTGTTGAGGATGTCTCGGGCGAAACGCTGGTTTTGCAAAATTGGGCGATGTCTCGAGCGGGGGCCTCGTGGGGGGCCTCGTGGGGGTCCAGAATTCAGAGGATGTCTCAGGCGAAATGCTTGTTTTCACGTCCCGCTCGCAGGAATTTCGAGGATGACTCGCGCGTACCGCGTCCCGCGCGCAGGAATTCTGAGGATGTTGGCAGGATGTCTCGAGCGAAACGCTTGTCCCCAGCACGTTCCGTAGCGCGTCCCCTTGGCACGTCCCGCGGTGCGACCCCATGGCACGTCCCTTGGCACGTCGCCTGGCGCGTCCCTTGGGACGTTTCGCGACGCGTCCTCCTGGCATGTTCCCCTGTCAATTAGCTCTGGGGCAGCTACTATGTGTTCAGGCAGCTCGAGCTTCAGATCCAGATCAGTTCGGTCAGGACTCGGATGCAAAGGAGGACTCGATCCACGAGGCTATAGAGCACAATCGCGCCATGGCACATCGCAATTCAGCACGGCGCAGCACAGCACAGATTTCGGCACGGTACATCAAGATCTATACACTCAGCATTGCAACTTGGCACGCCCCTTGGCACGTTCCGTGGGGCGTCCCTTGGCGAGTCCACCTGGAACGTCGCGCGGCGCGTCCCCTGGCACATCCCGTGGCACATCCATTGGCAAGTTCCGTAGCGCGTCCCTTTGGCACGTCCCGCGGTGCGTCCCCATGGCACGTCCCCTGGCACGTCGCCTGGCGCATCCCTTGGGACTTTTCGCGGCGCGTCCTCCTGGCATGTTCCCTTGTCAATTAGTTGTGGGGCAGCTACTATGTGTTCAGGCAGCTCGAGCTTAAGATCCAGATCAGTTCGGTCAGGACTCGGATGCAAAGGAGGACTCGATCCACGACGCTATAGAGCACAACGGGCTTGGAACATCGCAATTTCAGCACGCGTAGCACAGCAATAGACTCGGCAGGGTACATAAAGTTCGATACACTCAGCATTGCATTTGCCCGTCACCCAGTCAGGTGTCTTTGAAAACGCTGCCATGTGTTACGGTTCTATATTCCTTTCCGGGTTCGTGGGTCGATCATGTTTTAAACTTTTTATTAGTTGTTTGATTTTTGGGGTATGTATGTTTGTATGTGTGTATATATGATATATATATATATATACACGATATATTCATCTATGCACCTGATTCTGGAGACTTGTTCCCGGAAAGGGTATAGGCCCAGGGTTCTCTTTTAGTTTGTTTCCCCCCGGTTTCGACGGCTGTAGGGCCGGCGAATTTCTTTTGCGATAAATAACGAGGTCGCGTAGGGCCGGCGAATTAAAATTTGAGGATGTCTCGAGCGAAACGCTTGTTTTTCAGAATTGGTTGAGGATGTTTTTAATTTTTTTTATTTGTTTTTCTTTTTTTTTTTTTCGTTTTTTTTGTTTATCTTTTTTTTTTTTTTATTTTTTTTTTTTTTATTATTTTTTTTTTTTTTTTTTTTCTTCTGCTTTTTTTTTTTTTTTTTTATCGAGCGAGGGGGGGCCGCTTGTTTGTGTTATAGATTGTTCCTCTCCTGGGGACGTGAATCTGTGGATCTCTTCAGTGGATTGCTTGTTTACGTGCCAAGGTCTTGAGGATGTCTCGAGCGAGACGCTTGGCTTCACGCCTCCAGGTGGCCCAGACAGATGTCTAGCATGAGGATTTGTTGAGGATGTCTCGAACCAGAGGCTTGTTTTCACGTGTCCAGGTCGCCCAGGCGGATGTCTAGCATGAGCATTTGTTGAGGATGTCTCGAGCGACACGCTTGTTTGCACGTGTCCAGGTTGCCCAGGCGGATGTCTAGCATGAGGATGTGCTGACAACGTCTTGAGCGAAACGCGTGTTTTCACGTGTCCAGGTCGCCCAGGCACAGCACAGCCCTCAGCACGGTACATCAATATCGATACCTTTAGCATTGCAGCCTGGCATGTTGCTTGGCACGTTCCGCGGAGCGTCCCGTGGCGAGTCCCCCTGGCACGTCGCGCGGTGCACGTCCATTGGCACGTTCCGTAGCGCGTCCCCTTGGCACGTCCCGCGGTGCGTGCCCATGGCACGTCCCCTGGCACGTCGCCTGGCGCGTCCCTTGGGACGTTCAGCGGCGCGTCCTCCTGGCATGTTCCCTCTGTCGATTAGTTCTGGGGCAGCTACAATCTGCTCAGGCAGCTCGAGCTTACGCTCCAGATCAGTTCGGTGAGGACTCGGATGCCAGGGAGGACTCGATCCACAACGCTATATAGAGCACAATCGCGGCATGGCACATCGCAGTTCAGCACGGCGTAGCACAGCACAGCCGTCGGCACGGTACATCAAGATCGATTCACTCAAGTATGCACCTTGGCACGTTCCTTGGCGCGTTCCGTGGCGAGTCCACCTGGCACGTCGCGCGGCGCGTCCCCTGGCACGTCCCTCGGCACGTCCATTGGCACGTTCCGTAGCGCGTCCCCTTCGCACGTCCCGCGGTGCGTCCCCATGGCACGTCCCCTGGCACGTCGCCTGGCGCGTCCCTCGGGACGTTCCGCGGCGCGTCCTCCTGGCATGTTCTCTCTGTCGATTAGTTCTGGGGCAGCTACCATCTGCTCAGGCAGCTCGAGCTTACGCTCCAGATCAGTTCGGTAAGGACTCGGATGCCAGGGAGGACTTGATCCACAACGCTATATATATAGAGAGAGAGAGAGAGCACAGTCGCGGCATGGCACATCGCAGTTCAGCACGGCGTCACACAGCACAGCCCTCGGCACAGTACATCATCATCGATACATTCAGCATTGCATGTGCCCGTCGCCCAATCAGGTGTCTCTAAACTGTTGCAATGCCTTACATTTCTATATTCCTTTCCGGGTTCGTGGGTCGATCATGTTTTTGTATTTTGATTCAATAGCTTCGCTCATTCCGCCGGCCCATGTTGCATGATCGCTACTGCTTCGCCGTGGGCCCAGGGCCATTGTGGCGCCGCCGAGGAGGAGGAAGAAGATGAGGATGGGGAAGGGGAGGGGAGGAGGAGGAGAGGATGAAAAGGAGAGGAGGATGATGAAGATAAGTAGGAGGAGGAGGAGGAGGAGGAGGAGGAGGAGGAGGAGGAGGAGGAGGAGGAAGAGGAAGAGGAAGGGGCGGAGGAGGACGCCTCTCGTTGGCATCTTGTGTTGCTCTTGGGGCCAAACAGGGTTGTCGTCAAGATGCTTCTTTGGGAGGCCTCTTGGGGTCTCTTGAGAAGCCGATCAGGGGCGCCTGGGAGGCATTTTTGAACTTCTGGGGCCTCTTGGGGCCTCTTTTGGCCTTCTGGGGGCCTCCTGGGGCCTCTTGGGGGGCTGTTGGCGGCATCTTGGGGCCTCTTGGGGGCCTCTTGGGGGCCTCTCGGGGCCTCCTAGGGCCCGGTTCGTGGTCCCCCTCTTGGGCCCCTCTTGGGGCCGTCTTGGGGCCGTCTTGGGCCGTCTTGGGCGTCTCTTGGGCCGTCTCGGGGCCCTCTTGGGCCCTCTTGGGGCCCTCTTGGAAGCCTCTTGGCCCGTCTTGGGGCGCTCTTGGGGGCCTCTTGGGCCGTCTTGGAGCATCGGATGGCTGAAAAGGCGACAAGGCCAAAATCGTTCCAAAACCATCGTAAAATTAAGAATTTTGGCCTCTCGGCCCCTCTTGTGAGGCCTTTTGGAGGCCACTTGGAGGCCTCTTGGGCCGTCTTGGGGTCATCATCGGCGTCTTGGAGCGCTTTTTGGGTGTCTCGGGGGCCTCTTGGGCAGTCTTGGGGACCTCTTGGGTCAGGAGGGGGGGTAGTCGATTGCGCCCCTCCTTTCGGAGGCCACGATCCTCGTTAGGGGTGTCGAAAAATTGCTGGGTCTGGCATCTCTGATCCGAGTGTCCCGGGGGTGTCCCGGGTGTGTCCCAGATTACTTTTCGTCCGGGGACCCCTGGGGGCGGCCCCGCGCGCGCGAACCAGAGTATTATGAACCAGTTACCGGTGATCTTAGCACGCCCTTGGCCCGTTGGGCCGGCGAATTTTGTCGTGGCATGCAGGGGGACATGCCCAGACATGCGACGTCCTGATTTTTTCAGGACGTCGTCCCTGGAAGTCCCAACCCTCTCTCCCGGGGCCGGTTTTTCATCCTGAGTCGTTTTTTGACGATCCCGAGGCCCGGCGAGGGCCCCCCAGGGCCGAAAATGGCCAAAACCAGCCCGTCCTGATTTTTCTACGACGCCATCATGTCTGGATGTTTTCCTTTAGAATAATACCTATGACGCCCGGACTCCAGATCCACCCTACTTTGGCTTTTTTCATACTTACAATTGCGTCGGGAATCCACCTATAAGAAGCCGAAAAAGTAGGGGCGGAAATTTCTGCACCCAACATGAAACAGGGCGGAAATCCACGGAAGTAGGGCGGAAACAGCAACAGAAAAGTAGGGCGGAAACTGGCATCAGCGGGGCTTGAAAAGTGAGGCGGACATTCCAAGCCCTGCTTACGAATTTCCCCCAGAGCAGGGCGGATCCGGAGTCGGGGCGCACCGCCGTGCTGTATATTTGCTGCAGGGGGTCCTGCCCGACCCGTGGACCCAGACCCCCGACGTAATGAATTTTTCATTACGTCGACCCCAGAGTTCTCGACCCCTTCCCCAGGACCGGGTTTTGTCATCCCGAGTTGTTTTTTGACGCTCCCGAGGCCCAGTGGGGGCCCCCCGAGGCCGAAAATGGTGAAAAACCTCCCGTCATGATTTTTTCGTTACTCGAGGGGGTCTGGGGAGGTGGCTGGCCCTGCCCGCCGCCGTGCCCGAGGCCGTCCCGGCGGAGCTCCGCGGGTGAGGCGGCGAGCGCTCCGCCGCGGGCCCCCTGGCGGGCCGCGGGGGGCCGCGCGGGGGCCCCGCCTCGAGAGTCGGGCCGAGCGAGCTCCCCAGACGTCGGGCGCCTCGACAGAGTCGAGACGGAGGTCTTGCACAGTTTTTGGCCTCTCCTCCTCCTCCTCCTCCTCCTCCTCCTCCTCCTCCTCCTCCTCCTCCTCCTCCTCGTCCTCGTCCTCGTCCTCGTCCTCGTTCTCCTAAGACGGAGATTTTGCGCAAATTTCGGCCCCTATAGGGGCCCTCGCTGGGCCTCGGGGCCGTCAAAAAACGACCCAGGAGGAAAGACCGGTCCCAGGGAAGTGGTCGGGAGGTCGGGGGCCTGTGCGTCGAAGAGCTCGAGGCGTCGGACGTCTCGGGAAGGGGGGGATCTAATTAGGGAAAGGGGGGGGGGGTACGAAATCTGCTGCCTGCAGCTGGTCTCGGCCCCACCGAGGGGCCCATGCCTCGAGCCCAGACCCCCGACGTAATGAATTTTTCGTTACGTCGACCCCAGAGTTCTCGACCCCTTCCCCAGGACCGGTTTGTCATCCCGAGTCGTTTTTTGACGCTCCCGAGGCCCGGTGGGGGCCCCCAGAGGCCGAAAATTGGGAAAGACCTCCCGTCGTGATGTTTTCATTGCTCGAGGGGGCCTGGGATGCACGGCCGCCTCCGGCGCCGGGGGGCGCCGGGGAAAGCAGCTGCCATCAGGAGCGAAAAAAGGACGCACATGTGCATGAATCCACGCTGGTTTCGAGCGTACGCCTTGCGCAAATGGTCGTGTATAACGCGGCAGGTCTCGCGGATCGAGGGGCCGTGAATTCATGTACATGGCTGGGCGCGTACGTCCTTTATTATGGGCTCCCTAGGCTGCGTGCGCTGGTTCTCAAAGCCCCCCTCTGCTATATATCCCCCCCTGTCGCCGGACCCGAGAGCGGCCCGGCCCCCCCGGAGAGCCGAGGCTGCCGCGGCTTCAGCAGCGGCAGAAGCTCGGCTGCTGCGGGCGGCAGGCCTGTTTTTTTTTCCGGGGGATGGGCGGCGCCCCCACCCCCCAGACCCCCTCGAGCAATGGAAAAATCACGACGGGAGGTTTTTCGCCGTTTTCGGCCTCGGGGGGCCCTCGCCGGGCCTCGGGCGCGTCAAAAAACGCCTCAGGAGGAGGACAAACCAGTCCTGGGGAAGGGGTCGGGACCTCTGGTGGGGGTCGACGTAATGAACAAATCATTACGTCGGGGGTCTGGGCCCGACACGTCGATCAGTGAGTCGTCCGTTTTGGGATCTCGAGAGGGCGCCGCGGCCGTTATTTTCCAGGCCTGCGCCCGCCAGGTTTGGGCCCGAGGTCGTTTTCTCACTGAACCACGCTTCACTAAAGGGGGGTCTGTCCATCCCCGATTTTTCCCGGCTGGGTGAGGCAGTCTTTTCCTGGCTGAGCGAGGCGGCGCACTTCCCTCGTCGTTGGGTAGGGGCATTGTGCTGAGCGAGGCTCTATTCCTATCGGAATCGGAGTTCCACCAAGAAATAAAGAGGCCCGGAGATCCGACGCATTGAACAACTCAAGGCGGAGGTTTTTCGCAACTTTCGGCCCCAGAGGGCCCTCGCCGGGCCTCGGGGCCGTTAAAAAACGACGCGGGATGGGAAGCCGGTTTTGGGGAATGAATGGATCGAGATTTCTGGGTTCCGCGTCTTGAAAACATCACGACCGAGGTTTGGGCCGCTTCCCCGGGAGCGGTCTTTCCTCCAGGGCCGCTCTTTGACGGCCCCAGGGCCCCGGTGCCCCCGGAGGCCGAAAGCAGCGACAAGCCTCCCGCCTTGATTTGCGTCGCGGCGCGAGGAGGGGCTGGGGTTCAGTCGGCCCCCTCCCTCTACAGGAGGGATCTGCAAAAAATAGTCCCAACAATTGGGTCTGGGGACTCTTTTTTCGGCAAGTTTTGAACACTTTGCGAGCATTTTTTGAACAGTTTTCGCCCCAAATCCCCCAGGCCCGACCTCAGGCTGGGGTCGCTGGGCCCGGCTTCCCGGGGCGCCGCCGCCCTCGCGCCGCCGGGGGAGCGCCCGCGTTCTGCAGAGCGGTCCGCGCGTGCCGCGGCCCGGGGGGTGGGCCCTCCAGGGGGCCCCGAGGGCCCTCCAGGGGCGCCGCCGCCGCCGCGCCCCTCGGCAGCCCGTGGGCGGCATCACGGCCTGCGGGCCTCCTCGAGCAATGAACAAAATCATGACGGGAGGTCTGTCGCAATTTTCGGCCTCTGGGGGCCCTCCCCGGGCCTCGGGAGCGTCAAAAAACGACTCGGGATGACAAAACCCGGTCCTGGGGAAGGGGTCGAGAACTCTGGGGTCGACGTAATGAAAAATTCATTACGTCGGGGGTCTGGGCCTGCGGGCCTCACCTTTCCGTCGGGCCTGTCCCTGCACAGGAGGAACATCCCAAAATAGGAGCAACAACTGCGCGGGGGGCGTTTTTTTGGGAGCATGGGTGGGGTATTTTAGAACTCTTTTCTTCCGTCCAGGATCCCCCTGCAGGGGGACAGGCCCGACCTAACCTCCCCGGACATGCGTCGTCCGGACTTTCTCCGGACGGCGCCCCTGGAAGTCCCGACCCCTTCCCCGGGGCCGGGTTTCCATCCCGAGTCGTTTTCTGACGGTCCCGGGGCCCGGCGAGAGCCCCTATAGGGGCCGAAATTTGCGCAAAATCTCCGTCTTAGGAGAACGAGGACGAGGACGAGGAGGAGGAGGAGGAGGAGGAGGAGGAGGAGGAGGAGGAGGAGGAGGAGGAGGAGGAGGAGGGGAAGGGGGAGGAGGAGGAGGGCCCCCCGAGGCCGAAAACCGGCCAAAGCCTCGCGCCGGGATTTTTTTTGTATACGACGCGAGCAGGTCGGGGCCGCCTTTCCCCTGGCGCCCGCGGGCGCCGGGCACGACGGGCCGGGCCTCTGCCGAGGGCCGCCCCGCCACGGAATATACCCAGACCCCCGACGTAATGAATTTTCCATTACGTCGACCCCAGAGTTCTCGACCCCTTCCCCAGGACCGGTTTGTCATCCTGAGTCGTTTTTTGACGCTCCCGAGGCCCGGTGAGGGCCCCCAGAGGCCGAAAATAGCGAAAAACCTCCCGTCATGATTTTTTCATTACTCGAGGGGGTCTGGGTAGCGCGCCCGCGGGCGCTCCCTGCTCCTTGCGCCGAGCGCGGGCGCCGCGGCCCGGAGCCGTCGGGCAGAGGGCCCCAGGCGCAGGTCGGGCCTGTCCCCCCTATACAGGGGGACGGTGGACGAAAAATAGACAGCATTCGAACATAGTCAAGATTCGATGTTCGAAACATTCGAAACATTCGAACATAGGCAACCTTCGACAACATTCGAAAATAGACAACGTTCGAACAACAACAAGTAAGCAACATTCGAACATATTCAAAAGATGCCCAAACATATGCCAAAAAACCAGTCCCCAGACTATTGGTGGACTATTTTGGAATATATTCCCCGTGTAGAGGGACCGGCCCGACTGAACCCCAGGCCCTGAGATATCCGACGCCCCAGAAACATCGGGGCCGCGGGGTTTTGTGGCCGTTTTCGGCCTCCGGGGGCCCTCGCCAGGCCTCGGGAGCGCCAGAAAACGACTCAGGACGAAAGACGGGTCCTGGGGAGGTCCCAGAGGTCCGATGTCGTGATTTTTTCCATGCGGGGTCCCTGGGAGTCTCGACCCATCCCTGACTCCGGATCCGCCCTACTTTGGGGAAATTCGTAAGTAGGGCTTGGAATTTCCGCCTTACTCTTCAAGCCCCGCTGATGCCAATTTCCGCCCTACTTTTCTGTGGCTGTTTCCGCCCTACTTCTGTGGATTTCCGCCCTATTTTATGTTGTGTGCAGAAATATCCGCCCTACTTTTTCGGCTTCTTGTGGGTGTATTTCCGACGCACTTTTAAGGTGGAAAAAAAAGCCAAAGTAGGGCGGATCTGGAGTCAGGGATTCCCCAGGACCGGTTTCTCATCCTGAGTCGTTTGTTGGCGGTCCCGAGGCCCGGCCAGGGCCCACCCGGGGCCGAAAGTTGCGAAAAACCTCCGCCTGGATTTTTTCGGTGCGCTGGATCTCTGGCATGGTCCGGACCTCCGGGGCCCACGCCCCCCAAAAAGTGGGAGCAGCCGGATGTCTGGGGGGGCCCCCCCCGAGTGCGCTGCCGAAGCCGCCGCCGAGCGCCAGGCCCCCAGCGGGCTCGTCGTGCGCCGTTGGCCCCCGGAGTCGGGGGCGGCCGAGAGGGGGGTGATGACTAGGGGGCCCAGACCCCCTCGAGTAATGAAAAAATCATGACGGGAGGTTTTTCGCAATTTTCGGCCTCTGGGGGCCCTCACCGGGCCTCGGGAGCGTCAAAAAACGACTCGGGATGACAAACCGGTCCTGGGGAAGGGGTCGAGAACTCTGGGGTCGACGTAATGAAAAATTCATTACGTCGGGGGTCTGGGGGGAGTGGATACCAGGGCGTGGGCCATGATCTTTCCCCTGATTTCGTGGCGCCTCTTCTCATTTTCAGCACGTCCCTGGCCCCCCCCCCCCCCAGATATCCGACGTCTCGACTTTCTCGAGGCGCGGGGCCCCGACCTCCCGACCACTTCCCCGGGACCGGTCTTTCCTCCCGGGTCGTTTTCGGACGGGCCCGAGGCCCGGCGAGGGCCCCGGGAGGCCAAAAACTATGCAAAACCTCCGTCTCGATTTTGTCGAGGCGCCCGAGCTCTGGGAGCCCAGCCTCCCGCCGCGAGTGCTCCACAGCACGAGGGGGTCTGGGTCGGGGGGGGCCCAAAAACCTGTGCAAAGCCTCTGCCTCGATTGTCTCGAGGCGCCCGAGGTCTGGGCCCTGGGCCGCGCACATGCCGCCGGCCATGGCTTGCACCCCCCCGCCCTCTTGGCGGGCCCCCCGACGGAGGGGGCTCGCGCCGCCGAGGAGGGTGCGCGCCGCCGGGGCTGCTGCCGAATTCGCCGCTGCTGGGCGGAGTCGCGCCTGGCCCAGACATCGGGCGTCTCGAAGACGTCGAGGCCGAGGCTCTGCATAGTTTTTGGCCTCCCGGGGCCCTCGCTGGGCCTCGGGACCGTCTCGAAGACATCGAGGCCGAGGCTTTGCATAGTTTTTGGCCTCCCGGGGCCCTCGCTGGGCCTCGGGACCGTCTCGAAGACATCGAGACCGAGGTTTTGCATAATCTTTGGCCTCTCGGGGCCCTCGCTGGGCCTCGGGGCCGTCAAAGAACGGCTCGGGAGGAGAAACCGGTCCCAGGGAAGTGGTGGGGGGCCCGCGTCTCGAAGAACTCGAGGCGTCGGATGTCTGGCCTCCTCGGGCCCTTTGTTTTGCGCCTTCCCGCGCCGTGGCCCGGAAGGGGGCTCGCCGCTCGGGACGGAATCGCGCCCTCGCGGCCCTTTGTTTTGCGCCTTCCCGCGCCGTGGCCCGGAGGGGGCTGCTGGGGGAGCCCAGGCTCGCTCGGCGAGAACGTTGCGCGCCCGCCGGGCGCTGCCGAATTCGCTGCCGCGCGGGGGGTGGGCTGCGGCCGCTCCGCCGCCTTGCCGCTCCCGCCCCGCGCTGCAGCAGCGCCTCGGGGGCAGCGTGTAGGGGTGGTCGGGCTCAAGGGGGGGGGACGAAGTTTCGAGGTCCGAGGTTCGAGGTTCTCCCTCTCCGCGGTTTTCGGCGGCTTTCGGCGGCTTTCCTCCGGCCTCGGGATGCCTTCCAGCGGCTGCGCCTCGCCGAGAGCGCTCTGGGGTGGCCGAATCGTCCCGAACGGCCGACGGAGACTCGAGTTTTTCGTCGGCGAGCGAGGGGGGAAATGAGAAGGAGCAGGCCTCCCTAGAAGGCGGCGGGGCTTCTCAGAAGCCCTCGCGCCTTCCAAGAAGTGTCTCTTGTCTTCGGGGAAGGTCCAGCAATCTCCTCCGCAGGCCTGGGGACTTCGAGCGTCTTCTGAGCAATCCCTCTCCTCCTCGCTTGCCCCCCTCGCTCGCGGCCGAGTCTTGGCCCGAAAGCTGCCGTGGGGTCCCAGACGTCCGGCGGCTCCACTTGTCTTGCGGGCGTGGGCCACGGAGGTCCCGACCGCTTCCCCAGGACCGGTTCTTCGTCCCCAGACCCCCGACGTAATGAATTTTTCATTACGTCGACCCCAGAGTTCTCGACCCCTTCCCCGGGACCCGTTTGTCATCCTGAGTCGTTTCCTGGCGCTCCCGAGGCCCGGCGAGGGCCCCCGCGAGGCCGAACACGGCGAAAAACCTCCCGCCGTGATTTTTTTTCATGGCTCGAGGGGGTCCTGGTTTTTTGGCGCTCCCGAGGCCCGGCGAGGGCCCCCGCGAGGCCTCAAGCGGCCAAAAAAAAACCCGCCGCTCCGACTTTCCCAGACATCGGGCGTCTCGAAAAAATCGAGACGGAGGTTTTTCATAGTTTTTGGCCTCTCGGGGCCCTCGCCGGGCCTCGGGACCGTCAAAAAACGACTCGGGATGAAAAACCGGTCCCGGGGAAGTGGTCGGGAGGTCGGGATGCCCGCGTCTCGAAAAAATCGAGACGTCGGATGTCTGGGTTGCTGGAGCGGCGGATCTTGGGTGAGGCTCCTGGGGTGGGGGGCCTGTCGACCCCAAGCCGCCGCAGGGCAGGGCAGGGCAGGGCAGGGCAGGGCAGGGCAGGGCAGGGCAGGGCAGGGCAGGGCAGGGCAGGCAGGCAGGGCAGGGAGGGCAGGGCAGGGCAGGGCAGGGCAAGGGCAGGGCAGGGACAGGGCGGGCAGGGAGGGCGGAGGGCCAAGGGAGGGGAGGGGAGGGAGGGGAGGGAGGGGAGGGGAGGGGAGGGGAGGGGAGGGAGGGGAGGGGAGGGGAGGGAGGGAGGAGGGAGGGCGGGAGGAGAGGAGTCTGGGAGGGGAGGAGGAGGAGAGAGGAGGAGGAGGAGGAGGAGGAGGTAGGAGGAGGAGGAGGGGGAGGAGGAGGAGGAGGAGGAGGAGGAGGAGGAGGAGGAGGAGGAGGAGGAGGAGGAGAGGAGGAGGAGGAGGAGGAGGGAGGAGGAGGAGGAGGAGGAGGAGGAGGAGGAGGAGGAGGAGGAGGAGGAGGAGGAGGAGGAGGAGGAGGAGGAGGAGGAGGAGGAGGAGAGAGGAGGAGGAGGAGGAGGAGGAGAGGAGGTAGTAGAGTAGGAGTAGGAGTAAGGGAGTAGGAGTAGGAGTAGGAGTAGGAGTAGGAGTAGGAGGAGGAGGAGGAGGAGGAGGAGGAGGAGGAGGAGGAGGAGGAGGAGGAGGAGAGGAGGAGGAGGAGGAGGAGGAGGAGGGAGGAGGAGGAGGAGAGGAGGAGGAGGTAGGTTAGGAGGAGGAGGGAGAGGAGGAGGAGGAGGAGGAGGAGGAGGAGGAGGAGGAGGAGGAGGAGGAGGAGGAGGAGGGAGGAGGAGGAGGAGGAGGCAATCGCCCGACGCAGACCCCTCCCCGACCCAGACCCCCTCGTGCTGTGGAGCACTCGCGGCGGGAGGCTGGGTTCGCCACGCGTGGCCCCCAGGGTGGGGGTGGCGCCCTCCCGGGGCCCCGGGGCCGTCAGAGAGCGAGCCGCGACGACGAGAGGAGGCCACAGGGAAGGGGCGCCCCCAGACCTCTGGGGGCGGGCGCCGCGAGAGAAATCTCGCGACGTCGGGGGCCTGGGCCCCCCCGGCCCTGCGAGCCAAGACATCCGACGTCTCGATTTGTTCGACACGCGGGCCCCCGACCTCCCGACCACTTCCCTGGGACCGGCTTTTCCTCCCGAGTCGTTTTCTGACGGCCCCGAGGCCCGGCGAGGGCCCCGAGAGGCCCCAAAACTATGCAACACCTCCGTCTCGATTTCGTCGAGGCGCCCGAGGTCTGGGAGCCGCGCCCCCCCCTTCAACGTTCGCCCCCGCTCCCGCTGCCAGGGGCCTCCCTCGCCTGCTTCGGGGACGCCTGGGCCAGTGCTGGCCCGGCGCGCCAGCGCGCGCGCCGTGCCCGCCGGGGGAGGCGGCGCGGCGCGGGACGGAGGCCGCGCTGCGGTGTGGGCCCGAGTGCGATCGCTGTCTCCCTCCCTGCCCAGACCCCCTCGAGCAATGAAAAAATCATGACGGGAGGTTTTTCGCAATTTTCGGCCTCGCGGGGGCCCTCACCGGGCCTCGGGAGCGTCAAGAAACGACTCGGGATGACAAACCGGCCCTGGGGAAGGGGTCGAGAGCTCTGGGGTCGACGTAATGAACAATTCATTACGTCGGGGGTCTGAGGATCCGACGCTCCCAAAAAAAAACAACATCGGGGCGGGCAGCTCGGGGGCCGTACTTCGGCGTCGGGGGGCCCTCGCCGGGCTTTTTGGGGCCGTCCGCTGAGGCGGCTCGGGGCGCAGCGCCGGCCCCAGGGGAGTGCTCCGGACCTCCAGGGCCCACGCACCGAAACAGTTGGCGCGGCCGGATGTCTGGGTCCCCAGACCCCCTCGAGTAATGAAAAAATCATGACGGGAGGTTTTTCACCATTTTCGGCCTCCAGGGGCCCTCACCGGGCCTCGGGAGCGTCAAAAAACGACTCAGGAGGACAAACCGGTCCTGGGGAAGAGGTCGAGAACTCTGGGGTCGACGTAATGACAAATTCATTACGTCGGGGGTCTGGGTCTCTCGGATGTCCCTCCCGCCACACGCTCCCTGGCCCGCTCTCCCTCTCACACCCACCTCCTCCGTGGGTGTTCTTCCACCACCCGCCTCACCCTCCCTCCCAGTGGTGAGAGCTGTCTCCCTCCCTCTCCCTTCTTCCTGCCTTCCCCGCCCTCCCCTCTCTCTCCCCCTCTCGTCGGCGCGCAGGATCCGCAGTGGGGGTTGGGGGGGTCCCCTGAGAAGGCCGCGGGCTCCTCAGGAGCCGCCCCGGCTTCGAGCAAGCCTTCTTGGAGGCTTCCGAGCCTTTGTGCGAAGCTCGGTTGCGCGTTGGAGCGACCTTCTCAGAAGTGACCTCAGGTGCGCGGCTTTCGGGGGGCGCTGCGGGGCCAAGCCCAGAGCAAGCAGGCCGCTGCCGTCGCACCGTGCGCAACGGCCGGGAAGCTGTGCACCAGAGGTCACTTGTTGCCCAGGGTCGCTCTCACGTGTCGCCGAGCTTGACGCCCCTACAGTCAACCCGCATAGTAAGGACGAGCGACTTTCCAAGGTTACCCTTGCCTGCCTCCTCCCCCTTCGGCCCATCCTTGGCCGCTTTCGCTGGCCGCGCCCCGCTCGCAGAGTGTCGGCATGGCCCTCCAAGGCCCTGGCATCCTGATCGTGCGTCCTCAGTGTGCGGGCTGACTGTAGTCCGGTCTAGACCTGGGCCCTCGCCAGCTCAACTCGGCTGCACAGCCCCAGAGATCCGATGTCGTGATTTTTTCAATACGGGGTCCCCGGAAGTCTCGACCCATTCCCCAGGACCGGTTTTTCCTCCTGAGTCGTTTTTTGACGCTCCCGAGGCCCGGCGAGGGCCCCTAGGGGCCGAAATTTGAGAAAAACCTCCGTCTTGATTTTTTCAATACGTTGGATCTCTGGGGCCCCTCCGTCCCAGACCTTCGACGCCATGTTTTTTTCGCGACGTGTCCCCGGGACCGGCTTTTCGGCCCGCGTCGTTTTGGGACGGTCTTGGGGTCCGGCGAGGGCCCCCCCGTGGCCGAACACTGCCCCGAACATCCCGTCGCCTTTTCTCTTGGCCCGAGGGGGTTCTGGGATCGGGCTCGACAGCTGCCGGCCTCATCGTGTGCCCTCATTCTGCGGGTCGGCTGCAGGGCCAGCGAAGGTCCGGAGGAGGCCGGCGGCAGTCCGTGGCGGCGGCGGGCCCGCTTCCCCCTCATCGGCGCGGCGGCCCCGAGACCCTGGCGCGCCCCATCCCGTGGGGGTCCCTCTCGTCCCCGCTCTCAACTCGGGCAGTGCCAGGCCCAGACCCCCGACGTCATGATTTTTTCATGACGTCGACCCCAGAGTTCTCGACCCCTTCCCCAGGACCGGTTTGTGATCCTGAGTCGTTTTTTGACGCTCCCGAGGCCCGGCGAGGGCCCCCCGAGGCCGAAAATGGCGAAACACCTCCCGTCGTGATTTTTTCATTGCTCGAGGGGGTCTGGGGAGGGGGGAAGTGCGCCCCTGAGGCGGGGGTCACCGCCTCGTCCTGGACGTCGAGGGCCGAGGATCCGGGGCGGCTGGACCGACCCCGGGCAGACCATACCCTTCCCTGGCGCCCTCCTCGCCTCGCCCAAGGGCGTGCGCACGCGGCGAGAGGGGCGCTCGAAAGGCGAGGATGACGTCACGGAAGGGGATGGTTTCGGAAGAAAGCGTTCGCGGCGGAGGGGGCAGTGGGCGGGGCTCCCGCTGGGGCGCTGGCTCGGGGCAGAGAGTCACGGCGCGGGGGTCCCACTCTGGCGCTGGGGACGCGGGGGGGGGGGGGGGGGGGGCGACGCGGAATAAGGCGTTCGTGGCGGAGGGGGCAGTGGGCGGGGCTCCCGCTGGGGCGCTGGGGACGCGGGGGGGCTCGGGGCAGAGAGCCACGGCGCGGGGGTCCCACTCTGGCGCTGGGGACGCGGTGTGTGTGTGTGTGTGTGTGTGTGTGTGTGTGTGCGTGCGTGCGTGCGTGCGTGCGTGCGTGCGTGCGTGCGTGCGTGCGTGCGTGCGTGCGTGCGTGTGCGACACGGAATAAAGTGGTCGGAGCTCTAGACACCCTGTGCAAGATAATAAACATACCAATGATAACATTACAAATGTTAGGAAGGACACTCAGATTATTAGGAATTCTATGAAGAAGGAGAATAAGCATACGAATGCGATTACTAATAATTTTAGTATGATTAATATCACGAGTATTCTGAATCATAATAAGAAGCATAATACTGATACTGATACTAATAATAATACCAATACTATTACGGATGATAACACCACTCATAATATTCACAACAATAAGAATTTCAATACGAATGCTAGTAATACTAAGAAGCAGCATCATCATAATACTAACAGCAATAACAATAATAATAACATATTATTAATAATAATACTACGAATACTTTTAATACTGAGCACAACCATGTTAACAATATTACTAATAGTAATCGTAGTATTACTAGAATTCGTATTATTGTTACTGGTATTTTTCGTACTATTAATATATTTATTTATTTATTGATGTATGTGTGTATTTATTTGTTTTATTTATTTATTTAGTAGTATTCTTATTATTAGTATTATTATGATATTATTATTATTACTACTACTACTACGACTACTACTACTACTACTACTACTACTACTACTACTACTACTACTACCACTACTACTACTACTACTACTACTACTATTACTACTACTACTACTGCTACTACTACTACTACTACTACTACTACTACGACTACTACTACTCTTACTACTACTACTAACTACTACTACTACTACTACCACTACTACTACCTACTACTACTACTACTACTATACTACTACTACTACTACTACTACTACTACTACTTACTAATACTACTACTATACTACTACTATACTACTACTACTACTACTACTACTACTAGTAGTTTTATTATTATAATTATTATTCTCATTATTATTATTCTTCTTATTATTGTTATTCGTATTATTATTATCATTGATGATAATAATAATAATGATGATAACAATAGAATAAATATTGAAGAAGAAGATGAGGAGGAGGACGAGGAGGAGGAGGAGGGCGGAGGAGGAGGACCAGGAGGAGGAGGAGGAGGAGGAGGAGGAGGAGGAGGAGCAGGAGGCGGACGAGAGGGAGGAGGAGGAGGAGGAGGAGGAGGAGGAGGAGGAGGGACTAGGAGCAGGAGGACCAGGAGAAGGAGGAGGAGGAGGAGAAGGAGGAGGAGGAGGAGCAGCCTCACTGCCCCTCTGCCGCTGCTCGGCTCCCGGGCCCCCCGGGGCGCGTCGGCCGACCGGCTCGGGAATAGCAGGCGGCTCCATGGGGGGCCCCCAGGGGAAGTGGCCGAACCCCGGGGATGGGGGTCGACGTCACGAGCCGACCCCAACGTCGGAGGGGAGGGCGCCTCTTCCGATCGCTGCACTTTTTTTGGTTGTGTGCCGCTGCTTTTGGTGGCGCCGTCAGGGTCCAGGAGCGGGCAGCGGCCTCCGAAGCCAGAGACAACGAGAAAGCACGGCCTGCGACGCCCGGGATCTGGGGGCAGCTCCCGCTCCTGCCTGCGGCCCCGTCCCGGTCCTCCTGGTCCCGCGCTCCAGCTGCCGTTCCTCGCCCTTCGACCTCTCTCTCTCTCTCTTTGTGTCTCTGTGTCTCTCGTCCATCGTCCCTCTGGCCCTCGTCCTTTCTCTCGTCCACACTCTCCTCTCCACCCACTCGTCGAGCCCCCTTCTCGTCAGCTTTCTATGTGCTCTTCTCCCTTCCTCTCTCTCTCTCTCTTTTTTTTTTTTTTTTTTTTTTTTTTTTTTTTTTTCTCTCTCTCTCTCTCTCCCTTGTCGTGCTCTCTCTCTCTCTCTTTCTCTCTCCGTCGCGCTCTCTCTCTCTCTCTCTTTCTGGTATGAGCCTCTATGCCTCTGCTCTGCCTCTGTCTCTGTCTTTTTTTTTTTTTTTTTTTTTTTTCTCTCTCTCTCTCTCTCTATTTCTGCCTCTCTCTATATCTCTCTCTGTCTCTCTTTCCCAATACTCTGCTGCCTCCTCCTCCTCCTCATCATCATCATCATCATCACCATCACCATCACCCTCACCATCACCATCATCATCAGCAGCATCATCATCAGCATCATCATCATGATCACCATCATCATCATCATCATCATCATCATCATCATCATCATCATCATCATCATCATCATCATCATCATCATTATCATCATCATCATAATCATCATCATCATCATCATAATCATCATCATCACCACCATCATCATCATCATCATCATCATCATCATCATCATCATCATCATCACGATCATCATCATTATCATCATCAACATCGTCATCATCATCACCATAATCACCATTATCATCATCATCACCATCATCATCATCATCATCATCATCATCATCTTCTTCT